AGGTTCGAAAAAATAAACCATAAATCCAATTGTACTGATACTGCACTAGATGATTTTGTTAAAAAACCAACTGAATAAGCTTTTAATTATGGAAAAGAAGAAAAATAAATATTTTATTGAATATTTAAATCAAGTGATAGATGTGAAACTTTAATTGTCCGTTTTATTTTTGTATGATTGATATTTGTCAGATAGTTTGTTAAGTATATTTATACTTGACTACACGTCTGTTTTAATTCATTAAAAAATTTGTTTTGAAAATATAGACTTTTGATAATGGATTTTGATGAAAAGATTGAATAAATAAAATGACGGACTTCATACTTCAGTTAGAAATACTTAGCTGCTTAAAACCGACCTTATTTAATAATAATCTAAAGTATAACCTATTTTTTAAAAGCAAAGAATATAATATCGAATTAATAATGATTTGACATGAGTTATACAATGTTCTTCTAGAATTTGATAGACAAAATCCTGCAATTCTCAGAACATAATGCGTCATTTTTTTTTCCAAAAACTTGCATTATCCGCATGATATGTAGTATAAACTTATTGATCAATAAACAGAAAATGACATATATTAGTTTATTTCATATTCAAAATTTCTTTTGACATGAATTTAATGTTAGTATTATCATTAAAAGTTCGTTAATTAGTACTATGAATATGATCTATAATCAATCAAGACAAAATCCTATATAACAAAAATGACCCTTTTGCTTAATATCAACAATTTTACTGATTGAGAAAACTGTAGCCTAAAATATTTTGTAAATTTATTTTAGATCATAATGGATGAACAAATGACAGCTCTTCGAACACCTCAAATAGATGCAAATTATCTCGATGAAGATTTTCATTCATATAATTGGGATATATTTTCATCACTTTTTCGTTTTAATTATTCACATTTAACACATTCATTTAAACATGAATTTCAATTATTTCTTCGTTTATTAACATCATATAATACACTTCTTTCATCAAGTTATTCAACAACAATTGGTCAACAACTTTTACAAATTAAATATTCATCAGTACCATTAACACGTTATCAAAAATTTCTTTATTTATCATCATTTGTTTTTTCTTATTTTTATGAAAAATTTTTAGTTGATTATCGTCGTTTATTACCATTTCAATTTATTTATAAATCACTTGTATTCATTAATTTTCTAGTCTTTCTTCATGGTGGTAAATATATTAATCTATTCGAACGATTAACTAGTTTAAAAACAGTTCATAATCATCCTCCATCACTTCGTATACTTGATTATTCATATATGAAACGTGAATTAATTTGGCATACACTTAATGAAACATTAGGTACATTAATACCATTTATAACTTCATTAAAAGCACGTACATTAATGAGAAACTATTTATCGGGAACAATAATGAAACGACTTGAACAAACAAATATATGTTCTGTATGTGAACAATCGATTGTAATGCCTCATGAATCAATTGGAGATTGTAAACATTATTTTTGTTATGTGTGTGCTTATAGTTTGATACAACAATCATGTCCAATTTGTTTTAAAACGATTAATAATATTAAACCAAAAGAATTTTTCTCCAAATAAAATCTAGAATGAAGACGTATTTTTTTTTGTAATTGTAATATACAATCGATTGTCAAATATTGATTTACAATATACTTCAAATATAAATACAAAAGTTTTTTTCTATTAAAATATTCGGTTTATTGCAGAAGCAATATGAAACCGAGTTCAATTCGATTCAAGTGTATTTTAAAAAATTTGATTCGTGTTCAATCTCTGATCGATTGAGTATCACGTTGCTTTCATGTAAGTATCAAAATAAATATACAAGCAATCAACAAACGAAAAAATAAAACTTGTTCACAATCAAACACTATTTCTTGAAGTGTATGGAACTTTTGTAGATACATTTTTTTGGCATTTACACGAAAGTTCGTATTTTTAGATACGTAATATGCTCGAAAAAGATATTCACAAAAGATATTTGAATAATCGAAAAGCTTCTGACAATATTCTTATTTACAATGATTAAATATACAATAATGAATAGCATATATTTCCAAATATACCTTTATTTGCTATTATTTAAAGTATATATGATAAAAATCTATCCTAATACTTTAATAAGAAGTTCAATTCTTTCTATTAGCTTTATCCCATTTTTATCTTCAGTTACACTCTCCTCTCAAAAATCGATCTTTAGTCAGATACATCCAAATCACATCAAATTTTCATGATGTGTTGAGCCTGCAGTGGAGAGGCTATGATAAAATATTCAGCCGTATACCATGTTGTTTCTAAAAGACATTCAAATAACACAGAGTTAAAAATAGCTCATTTAGCAGTCTAAAATTCTCTGTAGATCTTCATTCTATAGACTTAACTTTTTTGTTTGTTTGAGAGAGCATTTCAAGATGCACAGCATGACAGAACTCTTTTTTTTCTCAAAACTCTTTCTTTTTAAGAAGAGAACCCTAATAAAAGGTCGAATATATCTCGAAGAATTCTCAAGAAAAGTTGCTTTGATTTGATAAGTGTTCTTTTATATAATAGTAACAATGTTTAATTCACAAACGAAACTCTAACATGCCCTGTATCTTGACATGATATTTCAGATTAAAAGTAAAGCCATTGATTACAATGAAGCTCCTTCGAGAATTCTAAAATGCGCGATCAAAAAAAAATGAACAGACAAAATACAAAGAAGGTTTTCCGTGTTTTTTGCTGAAAGACACATTGTTTAAGCAGAAAATGATGAGGATATTTGGAAAAAAACAAAGTGCAAAATTAAGAATTAGTCATTCATGAAAGATCACATCTCACCATATCTTCTCATGCCTTTATCTCAATTTTCACGTTTTTGACAGCAAATTGACTTGTTTCAAGGAGCGAGGGAATTTTATAATACATATATATATGAAATAGCTCAGCAACTCAACCATCATCGCTTCCACTAATGTCAATTGCAGCAATTATTACAAATTAGACTTAATAAAACCGTTTTGATTCATAATTCGTTTTGCAAGGTGCATCTCTAAGTAGCTTATAGATTTTATGGACTAGATTGAAAAATGCGCTTAGGATCAATGAGCTCAGGCTTGACGGAGAATTTTCTATTCATGTAATAGTATGCTTTTTATGGACATCCACATGTGAAAATAATGGTTATTCATTGTTACTACGATTTTTTTTGTAAAATTCACATAGGGTGATACCTGAAAGACGTTTTCTATATGAACATATGTGCTTTCCTTTCATTTTTCTAAGCACTTTTACCGCATAGATATATGATTGATGTAAAAGAAAAGCCAATACCAATCCGTTGCAAAGGAAATTTTACAATTCATTTCTTGAGTTAAAAAGAACAGAAGAAAATATCTAGAAAGTTTATTGAATAAGTGACTGTTGAGGTAGAGCTATCTTTCAATGAATTTATTTTGCAAATATAATTTATCTCAATCGGTCAGAATAGCGGTTTAATAAAAAGCTCATATGACTTTGAAACTATAGGAATGATTGGAATATATTGTACAAGTATTCATTTTAATCACAATTATTTATTTAGTGAAAAAATGTTTTTTTTGGTATAGTTAGATTTATCGATGGATTTCGTGATGCATAAATATACTTGATCATTGATGATTTGCTGAACGAATGTAGGTTCAAGAAAGATTCAATCAAATTTCAATTACTTGAAAAAAAGAAGTACATAAAACCCAAAGTATATTTTATAAATTATAACTTCAATTTTTATTGTTGGATATTTTGTTCATCATATGCAGGTATACATTCGAAAGAAGATTTTATTATTCCATTATCATCATTGAACAACTATTTTAAAGAAAATCAGGATTTAATAATTATAAATTAGTACGATGAAAAGAATCTTGCATATATTAGAATCATTGTATGAAAGAAAATCTGTTATTCAGCAACAAAAGTATCAACAAATACTAATATTACAGTAGAGCATTCATGAATTAATTAATAATAATGTCAAAATTACATGTTTATAATATGCAAATCAGATGTAACATAATACTAAAGTCTTTTTGTTGTTCATCATCGTTCAAAATAGATAAAACAAAATAACTCTTTCTAATTAATTCTAGATTTTACTTATTTTCTAGCTTTATCATGATAATTATTCATATACTGTATATTTACATCAATGTATATTCACCACATACCATATGTATCTTTACAACTCATTTGAAGCCTTTCTGTATTTTTAAAATGCATACACATTAACATTTTTCCGTCCAAATCTGACTAGACTGGAATAAGCTTGGTTTAAGTCAGGTATACAATACGTAGAACATAAGTGATGCATCAAATAAAATATTAATACGTGCTTAGAGATTATTTCATACAAGTTTTGAGATACTTTCAGCTATATAATACAAAAATAGATAAGAGATTTCAAAAGATATCATCATTAGAGATATAATGAACACTAAATTATGAAGAAAACGTCACTAATAAAGCATTGACAAACAATGAAGAATCTCTAGACGAACGTGACTTATTTTCAATCGTGATCAAGATAGAAAAAGAGAAAGTAGAACTTGAGAATAATTTATTGTTATTATCCGTTTGCATATAATTATGAATTAAGCATGCTTTTATCTGAAACAAGATAGAAAAAAATGTGAGATACTAATTAATTGATATAATCAACGTTTATTACAAGGTCTTTGACGATTACAGGGTTAAATCATAATTACATGTATACAACAGAAAAAGTATATGATGAAATTTTAAATAAACAAATATACAAAACAACGATTAATGATAGTCTGCACAATAGTCATTCAATTGTTGATAGGAAAATGATTAACAAAACATTACAATGTAAAGATACTAACAAGAATTTGAATTTAACATATATTGAACAAGAAAAATAGGAGTTAACTCAGATCTTCATATTCATTGTAATCAATATACATGACAAACATATATTAATTTATAAAACATAAATTATAATATCATTCACTCTTGTATAACCAAAGCACGTTCTGTATGTGTCACAATTCTATTAATCATTTTATGTAGAGTTACATTTTTCGATAGTTCTTCTACTCGACTAAGCATATCAAGAACAGTTTTTAACAATCTAGAAAAACGTACTACTGCTTGCTTATATCCATATAAATAAATTAAATATTTCCATAATACCGTGACATAGATATCTTGTATATGTATTAATTCAATCGAACTTGACATAGTATTGAAATCTTCTTGATCATTAAATATAACCATTGAAAAATTACTTGAAAATATCAAAACAAATAACATTATTTTAATTAGATCTCCATTTGGTTCCAATCGTTCATTATTTTGTGCACATTTCATTACATAATCATGTCCATAAATAGCACCACTAGCAATCATATAATTCAAATTTGTAAAAAGATCAGTTTCACGAGCAACAAAATATCCATCGAGAGCACCAGTAAAAAATACATTATGCAATGAAACTGCTCGATGAGCATTGCTTGATAAACAACGAAAATGAGGTGAATGATTTATAAGTAATATAATATTTTCAAAAGGTTTACTCATAAGATTTATTGTATCAGAAGGTTTTAAACGTAATTTTACTGGTAATGAAGATTTTTCTTCAAGTATATGTTTAACTTGATTGATAACATTTTGTTCATTATATGATAGAATAATATTTGAAAGAAGATTCCATTGATCATTTGTCAAAGTTGAACGATCATTTTCAAGAAGATCAAGTGGTTTAGGCTAAAGAAAAAGAAAATTACATTGAAATAATAAAGTATATCATTATGATACTGTTGGTAATTGAATTTGTTTTTGTTTTGCCATTATTAATTGTTTATATATATTACAGTTAGTTTCATGCTGAACAATCAATCGAATTAACTTCGGATTCATACCAAATGTATAACATTTTTTTAGACGACAAGCTGAACAATAACTACGTGTTTCTTTTGTTATATTACAAGAGTTTGTATGTGAACAACGACGTATTTGCTGTTGGATAAAAAAAGTATAGAATAGATTTCATTGAAGAAAATTAACTTACTGATAATCGAAAAGCATTTCTTCGAAAAAAAGCTTTACAAGATAAACATGTTATAACATCAAAATTGAAGCCACGTGCAACATCACCACATATATTACATATTAAAGACGGACGAGATATTGGTTTTGTTGCTATTTTATCTAGTTCCATCTTTGTTGAATTTTATGATTGTGTGTTCATAATGTTTTTCCTCGAGTAATGTTTTTCTTTTCGACGTCTATGGATTTACATTTTCTTCCTCGTATATTGAATGCGTGTTTTATTTACACAAATGATGTTTTCTTTTTGTTTTCTTACATTTAACTTGCGAAGGTGATTAAAACATAAAAAAATACCTTGTATTTTACACAACCGAACACATGTATAGCTCACATGTTACTTTGTAAAGACATTATGTGGTTATTTTAATTAACGAGATAAAAAGATATTCTAAATAATTTACTTTGATTGAAATAAAATACGCGTATAGAGTAGAGAAAACTTTGTTATATGAATACTGTTAAGCCAGATTGTAATAAGATGAGTTGATATTTTTTGTGTTGATCTCATATAACATGTTGATTTGTAAACGTATAATAGTTTGTCATAAAGATCTTTTGCTTGAAATAGCTTGTGTTGTTTGAAAGGTTGAATTTAAACTAAATAAAAACGATTTTTCTATAGTGAAACTAAATCATGTTGTTTTATGTATATTTAATTTCAAATTTTCATCGTTAACAAATATTCTTAGATCTTTGATAAAATAATATCAACAACAAGGATCTCTATCATAGTGTTATTATTGTTACGAAAAAAACGCATGAAATATAACAGATGACGTATAATAAATAATGTAGAAATCCATGATCATGAGTTTGTGTCTATTTTAAGCATTCATTACATTGGAATAACCCAGATAAAAACGAAGAAAGAACATGAAAGATTCCTCATTTTCAAGTAGATCCATCTAATCATCATAAAAAAATCCTGTACAAATAATTGAAATTTTAAGCGTCTTACAAATACTTTAAACACGATAAAATTCAAGCATCTCAGTTCGAACATGCGAAGGACAAAATAAATTTTTAATTTGTTAGTTTGGCAGTGAAAACTTTAATTTAATTTGAATACGTCTATTTTTATTAGTTAACTACGCAAACTCTCCATTGTAAGATACCGAAGAAAAAAAAACATGACTATCAGTTTTTTTATTATTTGATTGTTTGAATTCTGTTATTATTCTCTTAATGAGTCATTATGTGCTGAAAAGATGTAGATATTAAATAATATCACATATTTGCTTACTTGTCTTCGATCTAATAACTCAATAATTGCTATATTGTGGAAAGAAATATCATATGTATGTGTTTATGCACTGAACTCATAGCTACTATGATAACAATAGCATTTGACTTATTTTGTGCAGGAGTTTAAATTAGAACTTGTCAAAACTATCGGAACCGCACAAATAGTATTAATTAAACTTGACTTACTGATGCTAGCACTTTCAATGAGTCAAACGATGTACTAGTCCGTCGAATAGACTTGTTCAGTTCTCGAAGCATCGAAAAAGGTCAATATGTTTCTTAAATGATACCTTAGTTTGTTTCGACTTTACAGTGTACCTTGATAAGAAGCTCTTATCTTCTTGATGGAAGAGAATAATTGATCGCGTTGCTCGTCATTCACTACTGGAAGAGTAGTTATGGAAACGTATGAATTTGTTTAAATAAATAGATTAAAAACGACTCGAAAGTATGACTATCGTTATCGTTCTTCTCCTAATCCATCCGTACTCATCATAGAAATCAAGTGTTATTGCACCAGCATATGTATTGAAACAGTACTATGAATGATAATATGAGTAACTATTAAATGATGATATTCAGAGACATTTTTATTATTTAGGAATTGATACGACTTATAACTATGGAGAATTTTTTGTGATGTTGACTACTTTTCAAAACAGCATTCTACAAAAACTGAAAAGTCAAAAAATCTATCGTTACGATAGATTCCACGATAATATACCATCGTGAGATCACATTATATTATCAAGAGTTGCCAGAATACATCCGTTGAGAACTAAACGAATCTGTATCGCAAATTTTTGACAGTGAAAAAACGAGATCAATACAGACTGCTATTGCTTCTGTTTTGTCGAACTTACGTTAAGTAAAAACTCGATTAATCATGAAATCAGTCAGTAATTTTTTATTGATTCCTAGGTGATCCTTGCATCTGGTGGTAATTAAAATGCGTTACAAACACACTACTTTTATTGAAAACTATTATTCATTCATTCTAGCATTTCTCTTTAATATCCCTCCATAAGCTATACATAAACTAGGCCAACCAAAGAGAAACGGATCATCTAAACCTATTCGGAAGTAACACTAGATGCATAATTATCATAAAATTACGTGAAATTGTATTGATGTCGATTCAATCTTATGCAACACATAAACATCGCTTGGAATGAATTTAAAACAGCTCATGTATCATTTCTGGTAGAGAAATCTTCTCAAAACACTGATGCTCATAAAGTTTTATTTGTGTTTTCATAACGTACGTAGATGCCTATGTATGCTAGAGTAATGTTCGTAGACAAATTTTGTATTTATGATTTTGTTTTATTTCGAGATCTATGAAAAGTAGTCGTTTGTGAATATAGGTTACCGAGTTCTATGTATCAACATGAACAAGATAAAGCTATCTTTGATTTCGGAATGTTTGCCGGGCTTTGCATATTAAACAAAATCCCATTGTTTATCGACCAGAATAGACATAGATCATCTTCAAAAAGCAGAAGTAACGTGCTGAATGAACTTTTCTCTTTCTCAATCTATATTAATCTTTGCGTAAACTGAAAAATCAAATGGCTTCTCTTTATCTGGTGATATACTGATTGTCGTTCTCAATTATTTTTCGATGAGATAATCTATGCTAAACATGATTTCATTGAATATCAAAAGCGACGAAATCTTTGCAAAATTATTAACATGAGCAAATAAAATAGCGAAAAATTTTTAAAATATTTCTTTTTGTTTCATCCTGGTATAGCACATTCATCCAGTCGACCATAGTCTTAACTTATTGATTTAATCTTTGATATGAAACATGTCACTAGAAATAGAACTAATCGGAATCTTTTCTCGCTCTAAGCTAGCAGAAGTGATTGATTTCAATTTCATATGTCATTTGACACAATGAAGAGACGTTTGCGCACAAGTGAATGTGAATTCAGTTCAACAAGAACAAATGCTAATTGCTATTGATTCAGATATAATAAGAATGAAATGAAGAATATCTACACTCGATTAATCTTTTCTTGAAGTTAAAATAAAATCAAATGTTTATTTTTCTTTGTCTGGCGAATAAATATGCTAGAATAACAATATCAATTAGTTTAAAAAAAAGACTTATAAAACATAGTTTGGAGTCAATTCTGTGTTCACAATTGAAACTGCTGTGAAACAAGTTATTCAGTTGTTTTCATTGATTTAATTGAACAAGAGTTAGCAAATGATCGACAAGCTTCAATACTCGACTTCAATTGAGGGTCTTCAAAATGATAAGTAACAACTTTCAAACCAGGAAAATTGAAAGATAGTAAATTTTTCAATTTACTAAGAAGTGATCGATCCGGTGCATAGGTACCTGATCCATTATCAATAACTAATTCCCATTGATCAAAATCTAACGGGTCAGATGAATTGAATCTATTCCATCCACAAATTGGTCGTAGATGAAATTCTCCTGCGTAACAAACAGTTTCGGAACAATTTGCATGAAGAGCGTGTTTTGATGCAAAGTCAACGGAAAATGACGCACCTGTTTCACAAAATTTCCATGTTGTATCATCAATAATGTAAGTATAAACACAGGGTTTTATATTGAGTTTTGTTTCATCAGATAATAATTTCCAAAGATCATCACTAGAATTTAAAACACCAAATTGATTTGTTGTATGTTTCGCATAGAGAATATGATATGCTCGTTTCATCAATGTTTGCACACCAAATGCCATTGGTCCTTCGAATATCAATTTTGCTGCTTTGTTCGATGGATCCCACTTCTGTTTTTGATTCAGATTAAAGAAATAATCGATTCGTTTTAGATAAATTTCCCAAGTTGAATAAAGTCGCTCATCATTGACTTTGGCTAAATGACCAAGAGTCAATGAATTGTGACGAGAATAACGAACAGGACCATCAAATGTATATGGACGAAGAATTGGTGTCTCGGCTGATGAAGACAAACGATTAATGCTCAATTCGAATGTTCCTCGCACTTTGCCACAACTGTCTTTGATTTCAATCAATCGACGATTTGTTGGAAGAAGAGCTACTTTAAAATTCCCAATGTAATGATCACTGACTATATCATCATCTTTATCAAAGAGTTCAACTGAAAGTTTCGCTGTTCGAGGAACATTTCTAACCAACCATTGTTCATTCCAAAACGGAGAAAATGTATTCGTAATACATGAAGATCTAATAAAGAATAAGTTTCAAAATCAATTGAATTCATTCGAGAATACAAACATGAACTGAATTCGTCCATCGTCAATTAGACTGATGAAATATGGATCGCATGATCCAATTATATCCTTCTTTTGAAGATCCTTCAAATCTCAAAGATTAACATTAATTACACAACAATAAACAAACAAACCTTTGCACAATGGAATTCAATGAGAAAATCATCCGATTTTGACACATTGTTACTTTTCATTGGACAGATAATCTGTCGACTAAAGCCATAAACTATTGAATAAGCCATCACCTCAATAAAAATTGCATAAAAACAAGACTCTTTACGCCTGCAAAAATCTAATATTAACTAGTATCTTCTGCTTTTTTTAGACCATTGATGTCAATGGATCTTTGATATAGCTAGGAGTGTAGGTTCTTGGTAAGCCAGTGGAACTTAGTCTAATTTTATTTTCAAGGATAAAAATGAAAGAAATTTTGCTAAGAATTGTATCAAGAAAAGATTCATTGAAACACCTCAAAAAACAAAACTTTTGAATAGCGATGAATCATTGACGTTAATTGAAGCTTATGCATTGACTGACTTCTTAACTGTTAATATAAGTACAAAAAAAAAATTCCGAACTACACTTAAGTCATTAATATTAACGATTGACGGATCATTTTATTGTTAATATTAATTTTTAATTTCTCTTCTAACAGGCAATTTATTTATATTTGAATGATTACATGACTGGGACCAGAATTTTAATGTTTTACTTTGAGGTTTTCGTTCAGGAAACGTCTATTTAGAGAAACTAACAATGTCTTAACAAAATCTGACGAAAGCCATTAGAAATCGATGTTGTCATGTCTGAAAACCTCGACTTGAAAATTTCGACAAACCTGTAATGATGTGCATTGTTGACTCTGAAAATTTTTAACCGAAGTTATTAAAAATCCTGATTAACTTGGAACAGACCCTTTCTTAACCAGAAAAAGTGAACTCAAGAATTTTAACAAATGCTCCCCATGTAGCCGATTAAGATTTCCTGTTAGGAGTGGACTATTTTTCTTCTAATATGATTTAATTAACGTGCAGGTTAGGTAGTTTTACGTATCTGTTAATATTAATAAAAGCAGGCTATCGAAATTATTTAGCTCAATAATATGAACAATTAAGTGAAACTA